ATTCATCGGCGAAGAGTCAATACGTTGTTTTTATGCTCACGGGTTCATTTTGTCTGCATTGTTATAGGTGTGTACACCATGCAGTGCTTTTTTCTCTCCAGCTAGGGAAAAGAATGCGCGGAAAAGCATTATTAAGATTGCATCTTAATAATATGTTATTAATTGAATTAATAAAATCCAAACCTAATAATATGTTATTAATTGAGTTAATAAATCCATCTTAATAATATGTTATTATTATAGTTAATAAAATGTTATTACCGCCGAATCTTAGGATTTATTAAGATAACACCCGATATAACGCATAACATATTATGTTATTATTATGCTGAATCTTAATAACGTTATTAAGATAAAAAAAATCTCAACATAACATAATAATAAATATGTCGGGCAATAACATATTAATAACATATCGAAAATGTAAATCTGTATTTCAACAGTTTCGAGGGATAAATTCAAATGATCTCATTGATGAGTTGAAGAAGCGTACGAATTTGTTGGCCAAACTTTTTTTCTGGTTCATCCATCAACTCACCGAAAACGGCTGTCTGACAAACGAATAGTACTTTCTATACAATTCACAATTGCACCATTACATTTTGTCGTCGTTCCTACTTTCATTATTGTTAGATGTGTAATATTTTGGCTGGATGATTTTATTAGTTATACTTTTCTCTCGTGGGAATTCAAATGGAGACCGTTCGCTTTCTTATTTTCTACGAAACGCAGAGAAAAGATTGCACGACGTAGATTCTTGTGTAGCGTATTCACACACACACACACGCACATCAAATATTGTTGTCGTTCCATAATTTTTGTGATTTATTTGGCTGGCCACCCCAAAATGTGGACGACCACCATTAGCCAGCCATCCATCCATCTATCCATTTAATTCATTTATTATTATATTATTTTCTTTTGCCAAAATATACATTATGTTTACCGCTCTGTCACTCTCTCTCTCTCTCTCTCTGTCACTCTCTCTCTCTCTCTCTCTCTCTCTCTCTCTCTCTCTCTCTCTCTC